ATGCTTCTCACTGATGAAAAATGTAGGAGCAACAGGAATGAATAATCTGTATGTGTACGCCCTGGAGCTGGTTGGGGTTTTAGTTTTGCGTGTTTTGTAACCTCTGTCTGGTCTTCTTTCCATATCGTATGTACTGCTTTTTTGTCTTTGGTCATACCACATCTTTTTAAATCCTCATTTACTTAAAGTTAATTCCTGTAAATGAACTGGTTTTTATTTGGTTCGGGAGTGAGGATGTGCAGTAAATATTTGATGTAACATCTTTTGCTGGTTTCATTCAGTAGTCTGTCTTGACCTTTATTTCCCAGAGCACTTCCACTAAACCAGCAGCTGCCACCTTGTCTGCAGCATCCGGGGATCTCGATCTATTCACTGAGCAAACAACAAAATCTGAAGAGTTGGCAAAGAAACAGCTCTCCAAAGACTCCATCTTATCACTGTATGGCACAGGAACCATGCAGCAGCAAAATGCTCCGGGTAAATAATTTTGTAAAGGTTTCTGTGCAGTCCTATTTTAAGCTTTGCCTAGAATAGTTACCTCCTACGAGTATAAAACTAAGGTTGAGTACCCTGCTACCTATATTCAAATGAAGATTTTTATTTTTACTTTTTATAAAAATGAGAAAATTACTGAAATGTAATACAGAAGCTAAAGAAAAAAAATAGTATGTGATTTTAATTTATTTATAGCTGTTCAAATTATCAAGTATGCAATTTACTGAAAGATTTGTGAATTCAGCTTCTGCCGTCTAATTCATCGCTTAAGGTCTGAGTCTCCAGCGTGCAAACAGCAGGCTGCCAAGATCAGTACAGAGCTGTCGTATCTTGATTTTAGCTAAGTTTGTATGAAAACAAAGACCTCCAATACAGCGATTAAAAGATTCTGGTTCACAACAGGGATTTGCCAAACTCTTCTTGGCAGTTAACCTCTGGTGGTGAGTCCCTTTCCTTTGAGAGTTTTTAAGTGATTTTTTACTTTTACCAGAAACTAAATTAACAGCACTGATGTACAAGTGGACAAAGGTTATCCTTTAAAATTATTTTGGTGCACTTCTGACTTATGGGGATGGGGGAGAAAATCACAAAACACTTTTGCTGAAATCTTCCCTTCTCTGGTACAGGTATGTTCATGGGGTCGTCTTCTATGCCATTTACCACACAACCATCAACTCATTTTCAAGGCTTTCCAGCCATGGGAGTTCCTGTGCCTGCAGCAACTGGGATGATGGGAAACATGATGGGACAATCAGTGCCAGTCATGGGACAGAGCACAGGCGTGATGGTAGGAATGGGAATGCCCAATGGATTTACGGGTACTACACAAACTGGTGTGATGGGACTTCCTCAAAATGTCGTTGGACCTCAAGGTGGAATGGTGGGACAGATGGTCACGCCACCAAATAAGTATGGATTGCAACAAAACCAACAAGCTCAATGGAACCTCTCTCAGGTAAAGACTTGCTATTCCCAGACAAGAGTGCTTTAGAAACGACGCTGCTTTTCAGATACAAAATGTTTGGCTGTAGGAGGAAAGTTGTGGTGTAGCCAACTTACAGACTGCTGGACTATGAACTGCTCAGAGGCACGTGGAAAAAGTCAGTGAATAATTCAGTTAACGATAACTAATATATAAGCAGAGAATACATTTTGCCAAGGTAGACCAAGCTCAGTTCTCTGCTTCTGTAGCTACTCTCATCCTGGCATCTGAACTAGCCAGGTAAAAAGCTAGCTTAGCTATAGTTACAAAATACAGAAATGTAAACACAGCCTTACGACCAAAAGCAGAATTTAATTGCTTGAGGATAGCCATTAACAATTAATACTTCCATTGACAGACTTCAGGATAAATTTCAGTGGAACGTGCGGTGCTTTGCACTCTAAATGATCCTGTAGATCATTTGCTTAGGCTGATTTATTGTTTGTCTGTAGCATTTCCGTGCTATTTTTTTAAATTTCTTAAACGTGTAAAAGGTTCTCTAAAAGTGTTAGTTTACACTTAGTACTATATTGGTACATTATCCAATGAAGCATCTTGAAATCGGGTATTTGAGAGGTTATTGGGGGGGGACAAACCTAAATGATTCCCTTGCAGTTCAGTATGGATGATAGCAGCTATTTTCTTCATACTATTGTTTGAATTATAAGAACAATATAATAATCCCATGCTGCTTACTCCAGCAATTCAGGAAGTGAACCTTAGTGACTGACTTAGATTGGATTATATTTATTTTTACTGTTCTGCTCAGTCCTGTGGCATGAACATTGATGAAGGTAAGCAGCATTTCTTACACAGATAAAACGGCTCCTGCTTGAAAATACAGGCTCTCATTCTCCTTTGAAAAGTAATTTTTAAAAGGCGAGAATTCCAACATGTCAAACCAAAAAAAATTTGTGGATTTACTGCTAACAGTCTTTTTCTAGGTATCTAACTTTAAAAAGACCCATATCAGCTTTGAAATTAAAATCGTGCTTCTTATCAAATACAGATTAAAAGTTGGCTCGTAGAACAAGCTCTTAACATGTTTCTGTACTCCTTGCACATCAGATGTTACCAGTATGCTGACATTCCACAGTTTGTAGGGGAACTGTGATCTAATCTCTGGCTCCAGTTGAAAGGGGGAGGAGAGCTTGCTTTACTTACCGGAGTAGCATGCTTTATGTAGTCTACTTCTTAAAAAGTCTACTCCAGAAGAGATTAACGACTAGGTAAAGCATGTTTTCATCGGCTTTTATTAAATTTCCATGTACGTTCAGTGATGGGTTGTTTTTGTGGATACACATGTGAAAGCACACAGTACTGAATTCTACCCTGAAATATTAGTTTGCAATTGACTTAATTTTTTTCACTGGTGTTTGTTTCATTTTGCAACCTGGTACTGTTCACTCATGTTTACACGAACTCTTGATTTTTACCTAATGCTGTCTCTAACTTGAATCTAATGTTGCTTATCCAACATCCCTGTTCATCGGCTCTGATTATTAATTGCTCCAAATGCTCTTTTGCTCCCAAACTCATGAGAGGGGACATCTTTACTCTGTCTACACAGCTAGGTTTTTGGCTTGTCAATAAGTGTTCATTTTTTAGCAGGCAAGGGAGAGTAACCTGAAGAATGTTTTTACATTGAGCACTGAAAATTACAGTGACTAGATAATATTTGCAGAGAGTAGAAATATTTTTGCACCATCCCTGAAGTGAATGTGCTGAATTTTGAACTCTTTCCCACCTTCAGCTAGATGTCGTCTTTAATTTCATGTGAATGATTTCACTTGCTTCTAAGAAATTATGGTATCCTGAGTAGATTCGTTAGCAAGAATGGTTAGATTTAGATAATACTTGTTTATAAATCCGCCTCATTCTTTGTTGATTGTCACCTAAAGGGACAATTTCTATAAAAACTTGTGTATTCCAGATTTTGAGGTTTCCAAAGAAATATTGCTGGAACAAAAAACATCTGGAGTTGCAAATGTAGACAGGGCTATATTACTTGCTTTGGTGTTTCTTTATCGCAGTTGCCACAATTTTGTTGGTTCGCTTTGAAACCTAGAAAGCAAGCTCTTATCAACTGAGACACATCGGGCTCCTTTATCAAACGCTCTGTAAATTCACTAGTGGAGTGTTTATACAGGCTTGACGTATACACCAAGTGCTGCAGCCAGTCAGCGGATGTACCACGGTGATGGAATGGTTCTAGAAAAGCTGCTATCTTGAAAAATCCTTAGCAACTTACGTGGAGTCAATATTTTTATGTGATGAGACACATTAATTTTAGGGAAATGTACTTTAACTGGGTTGCTAGTTGGAGGCGTGGCTGCTTTTTGGCTAGCAGGGTGTGGCGTTTCAGCACCAGTGCTAACTAGGCTCGTGTGTGTGCTTCGCAGATGAACCAGCAAATGGCTGGAATGAATCTCAGCAGTTCCAGCAATGTGATGGGCTTCGGCCAGCCCCCCAGCACGGCGGCAGGATGGACTGGAAGCTCCTCTGGTCAGACTCTCAGCACACAACTGTGGAAATGAAAGTTGCAATAGAAGTCTCGCCCAGAACAGCCACCTAACATTCCTTGTTCAAATGCATTTACCTTCGCTGTTCCTTCCATGTACATACTCTTTTTCTTTTTCCTCAGCTGTTCAGATTAAGAATATAACTGACTGACCGTGTTGTGGTCTCTATTGATTTGAATTTGATGTAGTGAAAACCAGATCAAGAATACATTTATACGTCATTGGCAGCGTTTTCATACAATGCATACGACTTCTCATAGGCCATACATTTAAGAAGCTGCTTAACCACATACTGATTTTTTTCCCTCAAAATTCTAGATCAACTGTTTGCATATAAGGGATGTAGCTATCATGTTAGTAATATCCAAAAATATGAACCCCGACCCCCCCAAAATGACCCAGTAATCCTGTAGAAGGTACTGTATGAACAAATGTTTAATCATATATAAATAGAATGTAAATGTATCACCGAGCAATGTTTTCTAGTGTATCAAACAAATTTTGTTTCATCATACATTTCACTGTGATGTTGTTATGGTGTGCGTAACAGGGAACATGGTTATTGAAAGAAAGATAAACCTGGATGTTACTGTAGTTCTACAAATCAATAGTTTATTCTTTTAAAAATGAGCATTTGATCCATTTGAGTTTCCTGTGATAAAGTATCCAGTCCGGCTCACGAGGCAACGTACACAGTATTAATGCTGAGAACTAGCGGCACAATAGGTGTATACAAGGTAACTCAATGTGAACAGATATATTTTTCCTTGCAGAGATATCCAGGTTTATGACAGTGATTGTGTTTACATTTTACGGTGCCTCGTAATGATAAAATGTTATTTCCCTATATTAAAAGGATAAATCCATAAATGATTGTGGGTTTTTATTTCATTATTGTATGATGTATCTGACCATTTGCTCTTCAAGAAGTCTGCTTTTAATGAAGGAAAACATGTTCAATTTGGAGGATCCATTTATGCAAATATTTAGAGCAACAGTTCGTGAGTTAAAATCAGTTCATAATTACACCATTAAGCTGGATAAATACAAAAAGTATATACATAAATGATGGTTTTGAAAATACTCCATTGCAGCCATGTTTGTCTCTGATTCTTTTTACTATGTGGAAACAGCCTTAAAACAAAGGTAAGTGTCAGCTTATTAAGACGAGAGTTCAGAAATGCATGCAAACAAGTTAGAACAAAGCACACCCACGTGATTTGCGTATTAGAGTATCTGACAGCTTCCTTTTGTTTCCACAGAAGTCCATCAGATGACTATTTAAAGGTCTCACGCAGAAGTAGACTATTTTTACTGGTTGAATTCAAACACCTTCTGACACATCCATTGTCCTGTACTTCTGCGTAACTCTGTCTCCACATCATACCTCAATACTGACTGTGTCCAGATGGTATTTTGGCTCATTAGCTAGATTTACTTTCTCTGTTCGCGTGTGCCATACAAGAACCTATAAAATAACATTTGTGTTAGTACAGTCATCTACAGAGATGATACGAAAGCTTTTTGCTAAGCGTGGAAATCGGTACCTTTGTGCAGTTGTTTGCTTTTGGCTCCAGCTCCTCCACTGTTGTTATCTGTTTCAGGAAATCAGATTCTTGCATTCCTGGTTGAGAACCACGACGCTTGAATACGGCTTTCGGATGCGACAGAATCACTTGAAGACTCACAGCAAATCCTTGGAGAGAGGGGGGTGGAGAAAAAGGTTAAGAAAAACCTTTAGGCTTTACATTTTTGTGCAAGTTACACTTAAGTCTAGAAGTCTCCCATGTTCTTTTTAAAAATGTGTAAATTTGATTATATGGATAGACAATATTTAGTAGGTTTGCACACCCTACATTGCTTTGTTTCGCCCTGAAGGTGCAATCAGATTTTTTTTTTAATTGCACCGTCTTTTCAACATGTTTAATCAATTTCCTGTCATGTAGAGACTATATGCTTTTTTTGCCTGAAAAGTCAGGTATTGCGAAGATCTCGGACTATCCTCCTTTCTACTTCTAATTAAGAAATAAAACTAAATTTTAAGTGAAATAAAATGTATGAAGTATGAATGTATGAACACTTCTAGGTTTAAAGGTGAGAGTCAGAAAAAAAGGTTAAAATGTTACTTACAACAGCTGTGGTATTTAGAGGGTTTTTTTAGCCTGTAGAGAGTTTTAACATTATTGTTGATGAAAGACAAGTCATATTAACGTTTTGCCTTGCACACTGTGTAGTTACTGTGGACATGTAAATCATTTTCATCAACGGTGGTCTGCAAGACAGTCTGCAGCTGATCTCTGCGTTGCACAGCATGACTGAAAGAACTTTCAGTGCACATGCCTTTGCAATGCAGTCCTCTAATAACATACATGAGGTCCCTCAAAGGGAGATTACAAACTCAGAAATCACTAGTTTGAACAAACTCACCCTGTCTGAAGCTGCTCTCATGAATCTCCAATTTGCCATTATTTATAGAACTCTCCAGTTTTCATTCAGCAAGGTTGTCGCATGTATGCTTAAGTGTGACTCAAAACTTGACTGATGATACACTTGTAAAGAAAAATTACATTTGTAACTCCTTATGTCTAATTGCCAAGCCTACCACAGAAATCCTTTTTTCATCAGTTCAGAGTGGTTCCAGCTGTCCCCTTGTGACAGAAATAGTAGAAGTTTTGACATCTGTTCTGAATAACTGCAAGAACATTTAATTCTAAAGCCAGTATTAAAATTTTCTCAATTTAAAAATGAGCATAACTTTCTGTAATGGAATATAAATGTCCCCTTTTTTACTGGAATTATTTTGCTACTGTATTTTCCTTGAAAGTGTCTGTGGCTTTTTTGGGAGCCTTTTAAAGAGGAAAATAAAAGGAAGTAATTACTACATCGCATGTAAAGAGGGCACACTGAAACCACTTTTATCATGCTTTTGTTTGTAGCGAAGTACAGGAAGACACCAGAAAGTGATTCCCTGCCCCCCCCCCCAATAAAGATTTGGACTATGGGTCAGATGTAAACTGAGGTCCCAATTCATTGACGGACACGGTTGCAGAAAACACGTTTAACTTTACATGTTATATCCTGCCTAAGATAGATAAAGAAGAATAGGTGTCTAGATGGACAGGGCTTATCCACACCTCGCAGAGCACTCCAGTGAATGAAAGACTTGCAGGAGGTGTGAGGCTGTGGCTGCAGCCTGTCCTTGCTCTGTGCGGTTAAGCTCTGCAGCTCCTGCTCTGTGGACTGCACCACCTGCTAGCAGCAATGCTGGGATCCAGCTGTGCTCTGCTGCAGCTGCTGGGTTTAGGTAAGCGGTACCAGGCAAAAGAACAGCGGTTTGGACTTTCCTTCCCAGGTAGGGGTTTGGCTTCAGCAGGCTGCAGGCCTTTCTTGCTTCCTACGGCTTGCAGCCTGGCTATGAGGGAGCACAAGGTGGGCTCCATCCCAGTGCTGTTTGTAGCCATGTGTAATCATTTGTGAAGAGCTGAGGTTGAGAGCTTAAACTCCCTCAGCAAGAGACAGCTGCAGTGCATACAGCCAGCTTTCTGCACCTTGAAAGATGACTGTAGGCTTATTACTGATGAACAAATTGGCCTGGTGCAGTTCAGTATTTTTGGTTAGTGTTCCCCCTCCCTGCCCTAAATTAGAACAAACTATAAATTTTTGGTGCAACTGAGCTTTAGTATGGTTGATATTTCGGGCACAAAAAAAATAGTTTGCTGTGCAAGGGAAGGTGGTGTTGGAGCCATGATCAGCTGTGTGAGCTGCTGTTTCTTTTTAAAAAGATTTAATTTTTAAGATGTAAGCTGGTCATCCATGAAGGTGAAAACGAAGTAAACACCAAAATTAGTGTAGTGTCCTAGTTTCTAGAGTGGAGAAGGAATCCATTCTAAGCGGAAGAGACACACAGATTTTCTGCCGCTTATCTTTGCGTGTCTCAGCTTGGCTCCCTGGCCCCCACAGCCCATACTTATCCATACGTCAATTTCTCCTAGGTTCTCTTGTTGCAAAGCTTGCTCCTCTTGAGAAAATTGGATTCAGTTCTGAGGATGGATTTCTCCTACGCATGGATCTTCAGATGCGCCATGCCCCCTGCATGTAACACATGCCCTTGCTACCATGCTATTGCAAACTGCCATTTCAGGGTGCTATCAAAAATCCCCCATGTTTTCAGGCATCAAATAAAAGTCAGATTATTAAACTGAGCGTTTAATAATCTGACTGGCCTGTGGCCTGAGGGTTGCTTCCTTGATCAGTGGTCATGCAGTCTTTGTTTCTTCAAAGAATCCAATAAAGCAGCAACTTAAGAGATACAATAATTCAAAGAGACATCTCCTGGCTCTCGTTCTTCAGCTCTGCTTTATAACTGCTTTAATTTCACATGTGTGACATTTTGTATTTATGTAGACAGACTTCGGATAGACTTGAGGGAAAACCATTTTCTAGTGACAACTTTCAGTTGATTTCTTTTTATCACAGACAGATCATTTTGGCATCAAAAAGAGAGGAGATGGCTCAGGTTTTGACCAGACTGGCACTAGTTATTTCTCGCAGTAGGTAATGATCCTGTGGTAATAGATGAAAAGACACTGTTGTTTTGAATTATAACCCCAAACAGGGATTTATCTGGGATTACTGTCTCCAGCGTAGCATAACAGAACAGTGCTAGACACATACAATTCTTTCACTTGATCCTTGTTATTCCTACAAGGTCATATTGGGCTTAAGTTCACATGAAATGCCCAGGACAATTTCATCGCCAGAGTGCGAAGAGGTGTTTGGGGTTTTTTTGTGTTTAATGCAAGGCTGTAAATTAAATCTAATTGGCTGAAGAGCCACCTAGATAAGAATTAATTTGTTGGAGGACAAGATACCTGGGAGACATGGCAAAGATTACATCTGTGCTTCTTTCTACTGAAGCTGTTTCTGTTAATTCACACCTTGACTTGTACCTTGACTTGTGCTAGATCAATGGCTTCTGTTAAAAGGCAGAACCGTTTTTCTTCATCCGGTTAGACTGAGACAGTCTTTAAAGATTCTGTTGCTGTGATTAATGCCTTTGTTTCCTGAATGCTCTAGATGATAGTTCCTAGCTTGCCTTCAGCTACTATCCTGAGAGTGTTTATCATTTCCAGAGTGAAGAAATGCTAATGCTTAGTGCTGATGTTGAAATAGATATACTGGTATCCACACAGTTCAAGGTACTCCCTTTGGCTTGTTGAACATGCCATGGCTTGGGGTCCGCTTCCTTCAAGTTATCTTCTCCCTGTGACATACTGTTTGGGTTGCAATAAGGCAGAGGTGTTCAACCAGGAGTTAATTCACCATGAAAGAGGCTCTTGATTTTAAACTCAACATTTAAAATACTTGTTACCCTTTGATGGAGGGGTGGTTTGGGGTTGGTTTTTTGTTTGTTTTTTGTGTGTCCCCCCCCCGAGTCTGGTGTCTGCCATGGCCACTCATTTAAAATTTGTTAGTTTGTACTTGTGACTTCCAGCAGTGGCTCTTTCAGATTCAGACAAAACATGCCATGTTTTGCAGTGTCATTAATAGGAGAGCTTTTTTCTCAGGGAACCATAAGATGAGATGTACTAAAGATCTCGTAACTATAGCAAAATCAAAAAAAAAAAAAGGTGGTTGCTCAGGCCCTAGCAGAGGAACTTAGGGCACAGTGGATGAGCTCTGGACCACAAGTCCAAAATCTGCTTGCCCAGTGATTCACGGGCGTGGATTAATCTTTATGACTGAAGTAGCTCCTGGAATGCTAATGTAAAGCATGCATCTGTTTTCCTTGAACAATCTTGACATTAGGAGAATCACGATCTAACTTGTTCTCATGGGTGGTCAAAAACTCCGGCACTGGGAAGAAGCCAAAAGTAAATCACTAACAGCATCATTTAATATAGAAGATTTTAAATCAGGTCTATAAAAAACAACACAGTGCCTACCTCAGAATCAATGTCACTTTTTCCTCACAACACTCAATTCTCCCTCGCTTTTCTTCCCTGAGGGTAAGGAAGTCTGTGTCAAACTCTAGAACCCACCTACAGTTAAAACGGAGGTGGAACTTTAAAAACACCAGAACTAATTCATACGGTGTGTTGGTTGCCAGACAAGAAGCAACACAGGAAACAGCTACTCTGCTTTCTGAATGCAATTTAGTATTGGAGAATAGCAGTGTCAACCACAAACTTCTCAAAAGAAATAGCCAATGTTTACTGAAGTGACCTAATGTGATTGCCGTGTGTGAGTGTATTTCAAAGAAGAATCCAGGGAAGTTGGCCAGCTAGGGTCTTTGAGCTGATCCCAATGAAATCAGCAGGACGTGTCTCCACTTGCAGCAGATTTGAATTTGGCCCTGTGTTTTGAAGTCTAGAATAAGAAGTTGATGTGCTTAAAAGCAAGGATGCGCTTCCTCTGAACAGCCACAAATTAAATCAGTGGTCCCAAACCTTTTAAGCAGTCATTCTTTTCACACCCAGACTCATGATCAAATTCTTGTGAAAATCACTATGAAAAGATAGTTCTGTAAACTAAAGGGAGCCTCCTTACCAGTGCCTTGGGAATCAGAACATTAATTATAAGCAGCTGTAGACAGCTGAGCAGTTTAATATTGCACCTGTTTTTTTTTTTTTCATGGTAATATTTTCAAAAGAGATCCTCGATCTTCCTTACGTGCAGTATATGGTATAAACTGAGTTGCTTGTATATTTGGTGCGAGCAGGTGGAGGAATGCCAGTGATGTACTACAGCATGGACTTAGGTTTGTTAGCAAGTCCTCCAAGTCCCCAGAGGTATGCTGGGGGGGGGCGGGGGCAAGGGTGGAAAACTGAGTGTTAACATGCATCCTGTAGACTGCACCTGTTCAGGCACCTATGCAGTTCTGGATTTACAGGTTCTGTACTGTTTGTCTGTGCCCTTCCACCGTATTCCTGAGGGGAATGAAGATGCAAACTTACTTAATTTTTTACCAGCCTACACAGCATCCATTTCTCTCCTTTCCTGAAATTAAAAATGTAATTTAAATTTCTTCAGTTATTTTTTTTGAAGACTAATAAAAGTTCTCTCACAAAGTAGTAACTCCTTGTTTGTGGATCTGCAATAACTTCCTATACTCTCAATGTTTGTATCTTTGTCTCTGTAACCCTCCCTTCCACGACTTCGGTAAAAGTATGAGCAGGTAATGCTCCTAATGGAGCTGCTTTTCCCTCATGCCAGTGTTTCAGCCAGCAATGCAAAGTGTAAACAATGACTTAAGAACTTTCTATGTATCTCTTCATGTCTGGGTTAGAATCCCTTGGCCAATGTTGTGTAATGGCTTTTTGCCTGCTGCTAATGAATTATGAACCATGCTATCATCTTTACAATGCCCATAAGTAACCACTTCTACAGCATAGTATCAATACGTATCTACAAATCCACAGGCAGAGACTGTTAAAATGCACAGCTGCAGTCCTCAACAGGCTGCGCGGGCTTGGGGATTGACATACCTACTTCTCCCCTGGGAAATGCCTCTACCTGGACACTCAAATATTTATTTTCACACCAGGTGACTCTGTTAACTTGAAATGCTTCTACAGTGCAGAAAAATTCACCTGTTGATGTTTCTATCTTTGAGGTGTTAACAACTATTAGTTCTCCTTTACTCTTTTTAACCAACTGTACTGTGAATACTGTACATATTTTTCATCAAACATTTCAATTCATATAAAAATATTCTGTTCAGATGAGCAAGCACTGTCCTTTTCCCACTCCCAAAACATAAGGGTTTCAGAAAAAAGAAAATGGCTGGCTATTTCTACCCCGTTCTTGCCCTTGTATCCCTACTTTTCCCCTTCCCTCTCGTCCCTGAATACAAAATATGCTTAAGTGCAAATATATCATTTGCTGGGAAACCAGCTGCTGCTATGTCAGAAATTGGACTTCTGCACAGTGGTGATGCATGTGGCAGTTGTAAATATATTCAAAAGATTGTCTAAGCATGGACTAACAGCAAGACAGAGCTATGCGGTGTGCTAACTTCACAGCAGAAGATTGATTAGATCCATTTTGAAGCTTTTCTGCCTTCCTCTACTAGGCTATAGCTGTCAGAGATTTTTTCCCCCTAAGCCCAGTGTTTCAAACTGTATCCATCTACAGTTACCACTGTCATACCAAATAACCAATTAAAAAAATGAATAATTTCATGATAAAGTAGCATTTTACAACATGAGGTCTAAGAAGGGTCTGATTTATACTGCCTGGTGTAGATTGATGACACAATGAAATACAAAAATTAATTGGATTAATTAGTTTACAATTAACTGTTTCAGACAAACAATTTATACAACATAAAAGCCAAGTTGCCGCATAAAATTAAAACCAAGTGAAAGTAAGTTCAAATATCACCAAGCAGCCACTTAATTAGATGAGATGCGCAAGCTAAGACTTCCAGGATATTTAGTGCTGAAGGGCTACATACAGCAGCTGCACTTCAGAAGTTTTAAAAGCTGCTTACACTGAGAAATCAGTTTCTGTCCCACTCAAAAAATGTGAGAATAGTTAGTATGAGAAACATTCATGTATCGTGAAACTTGGTACTTGCCTGCCATGTCAATAGCAAAGGGCCTGTCAGCTCTCCAGCCAGTGTACCAGCCAACAACTTTGCCGTTTTCCACGACCGGGCGCTCGTACCGTCGTCCTCCTACCAGTCCCACGGGCCACACCGATACTTTGCGGGTTGTACGCATCTGCAAGAGGCAGGCACAGCATGACTGCATGCATATTTTCCTAGTAGGCTTTTTTGGTAAGTGTTGGTGGAAAGCCTACACATTAATCATCTAGACTAGGTATTTAAAAGCAATTCTAACTTACAGATTTCAGCCCAACAGAGTAAGTATTTGAAAGCTGCACATGCCCACTCATTTTCTGTGAAATCTCCAGCTCTCTAGCCCATAGGCACCTCAACTCTACTGAAAATATCCTATTCATATTTTTTATAACAAAAATTTTAAAAGCCATGAAAAAACAGTATTTGTTTTCTTGTTTGTTTGGGTTTTCAAAGGTGTAGAAGATCTTTTTTATCTGCAAGACTACAACATTCTTGCAGTAGGCTTATTTCTATAGATTGCTGAGGTATTGTACAAGCCCAGCGAGAGAGAATATTATAATAATGATTAACAAAGACACACTTCATTAAGACAAATACAATTAGTTTGAGACTGGTAACAAATACACTGAGGACAGGAAATTGTGACACACAGCTCTCCCCCTACCTGCAACATACCAGGTTTGTACAACAGATGCAGCTCAGATCTATTAAAGGCTCACAAAAAAAAGATTAAGTTTGGGCTAAGCCTTTTTAACCTCTACATTTTCTCTTGAAAAGCTCTGCTAAGTTTCCAAGAAGGACAGAAAGCAGGTCGGGCAGGATGCTTCTGCTAGTTTGCTACCAGTAACGGGAGTTTTTCCTGATGGTATAAATGTAACTAAATGCAATTCTGGAAACGTGGTCCTCATCTAACCTAGAGGAATCTATAGGTACTAAAAAATTACTCTTTCTTTAGCAAAAAGCGTGCATGACTGGGAGTCTGAATTCAGTTCACTGGTTAGTAGACCATTTTCTTCAGTAAACAGGAGGTAACACGACATGAACCCTGACGCACTGCTCCCCATGGGAAAATCACTGACAGTCTGGCGTGAGAACTTGAGAAGACGAGTGCATGGACACAGCAACTTGCACAATTTAACCACACTGATTCAAAAGCCACTGTTTTAATTAACTACTGTGCTTAAATATGGTTCTTTAATATTTAAGCAAGTATTAAACTCTTTTAGTGTAACGTGGGCTTAATTTGATCGATTTTTAAAACAATCTCTTGTCTGCTGTTGTAGTTGAGGCCTATTCCTTAGGGAAAGGTTATCCCTTTCTCCTTCCAAGCACTCCTCTTAGCAAAAACAAACACAGTTTTACATATTTGTAACTGCAGTCCCTATCGGTAGATGTTGAAGTAAAAGACAACCTTGGTTAAATATTAAACACTTCCCTCTCTTTCTGCCAAGGTGAAAGATTTATCATGCATATCACCTAGACTCCCAGGAGATGCACCAGAAAAAACAAAGACGTCACGTCACTCTGGTTCACATTGCTAAGCTAGAAACATTAGCAGATTCTTAGAACTTTCACATAGGGAAGGCATAGAATACATATTTAAAAATCCACAAATATGTGTGAACACACAGAAGAGAAGCATGCACCTTTTCTCCCTCCAAATCTTTGTGTATGTTTAAATTTGTTTAGCAAAATTTTCTCACTTCCACCCTAATAAGTGTTGCAGCAAGTCAGACCATCTCACCAGTAGCAGCACTCCATACTGTGTAAGAACAGGGTATGTATACAATTGGCAATATAGGGATTTCTTGTGATGAGGATTCTATCCAAACCATTGACGATTTAATTGCCAGCGAGAGACTGCCATGAATCTCTCTACAGGTCATTGTTAAACGCGCTTGTCTGTAACTGTTCTCCCTGCTTAAGATTATTTTTTCCAATCTCTCCCACTCCTCCATTTAGGAAACGCAGAGTTAGCAATTAATTATTTGGATATGGAAATCAGTTAAACCTTCTCATGAAGATCTTTTAGCTCTGGTTTTAACGATACATCCATTTTGCAAATTTTTCTAACGGTGTATTTATATTAACATCCAAACACATCAGACATGGACACAGGGCATCATCCTGTTAGGCTTGTCTATGCGGGCAAGTTTCCAATAGGTTTCCAAGGGCATGATCAAGCCACACACACCCAACTGTGCTACACCAGTATTAACCGCAGGACGAACAAAGATGCCCACTAACTTTTTTGTGTTGCCATTAATACCTTCTGATATGGATATCTGAAGTTCAGATATCCATGGGTATGGATATCTGAACAAATTACTAGTGTACTGATTTACAGCATTTTAGCTACCCCGTGCCAACTGCCCATGGTAAACACGTGTACCCATGGTAAACACGAAATGCCGCAAGACAAGGGCAGGCACGCTCTAACTACAAGAGAGTAGCTAACGCATGGTAAGCCCATACCCTGCCTTTTCTCACGGTAAGCATTTGGGCAGCTGTACTGCAAAATGGGCCAGATCACACAAGACTTCTGAATTGGGTCAATAGCGGCCACAGCATTTACGCTAGCAGAACCAGACTGATTTACATTAATACTTTACCATACACAATGTGTAGGAAAATCTTGTCAATGAAAAGCATCTCACTGACCTCATGAAACCAGCACGAAATGACCCAAGAAGCTTTAATTATTACAGTCTTGGGTCCATCTCGGTGTCTATGAGTTAAGTCACTAAAGCCACCACACATCAGAAGGAAGTAAGTAATCCTTTACAGAGCTCTTTATTTTCTCCTTGGGTTACTTTCTTTATTCTCACAGGTTACATTTTTGGAGAATGAAATAAGCAGGTGTCAAGAATACAGCAATCCCTTTAAGTAAAAACTGAAAGAGCACATCTAGACCGGTATTTATGCTAATTCTGAAATACCTTACAGCCTCAGGATATGCTAGGCAGATGAAAATAGGAATATTTCTTTTAATCTTCTGAGAATAGCATTACTGCAGCTAACATACTGATGCGTTAAGGCTGTATTTATGTATGATGGGGAGAAAGCTATTATTTGGATTAAAAGGCCAGCTTGCATCTGGAATTTGATGCTGCTAATCATCGGGACACAAAAAGGTGATTCAAAAAACATGTTAATTCTAAATAGCTTTATTGCTGTGGGTTGAACAACTGCCAAAATCCTGTAACTTACAAACAGCTTCCTAAATTACTCTTCTATCTGTGATTTTGATGTGCAGTAGCACATGCTGTCTTAATACTTAGCATTTTAAGTCCTAGTAGCTTACACGAATGATATTCATCTTACTTACACTTAATTCTCTGTAAGTTAGGCACCTGGTCTATCCTAGTTAGTTTTCTATAGTTAATGAACAGAAATAGGAACCTACTGACATGATTCATCCTGCCTGGCTTAGACAGCTGTCTTAAGGTAGGATGAATCTCGCTCTGGAAATGCTTTTGTCCTCTATTAACTTTTTAATTATTTGAAAGGGGCTCTTGAGCATAGGAGGAGAGTGATGTACTAGATGGGGGGGATGAGAAAAGGACTCTGTAAGATGTAGAACAAACCTGAATGAAGCGGGGGGGACACACTTGGGAAGGAGTGGGCAAGGAAATGACAGGAGAGAGGAGTAACAACTGACCAAAGAAATCCCGGTGAGGTGATGGGCATATAGCAGTAAATACAGTAGCAATAGAGGAACCACTAAAGAAGTGAAAATGCAGAAAATGTAGATGAGCAATAAAAGATAGTGATAAAAGCATTGCCAAAAATAGCATCTCATTAGTCAATCAAGAAAAGCTGCATAATAGGATGTGCCGGACTGATGGATAGGGAAGATACCAAGCCAGTAACAAAATATAAAAGCTATATATAAAGTATAGCTGAGCAATAAAAGATAATGATAAAAGCATTGCCAGAAATAGCATCTCATCAGTCAATCAAGAAAAACTGCATAATGGGATACACCGGACTGATGGATAGGGAAGGTACCAAGCCAGTAACAAAATATAAAAGCCCAAGGGGAATGAAGGCAAATGACAGACAGAAGGAAACATGGCCATACTTCTTACAGTGAAAAGGCTTCCAGACTGGAACAACCATCCTCGTGTTTTTGCAGCATGATGTTGATGCGTTTCTATTCGGGATTCAAAGCTCTCAGCACATGCAAACCTAGCTGCCACACATAGTAAGCTTTTTTCCTCCCTCTGTTCTCTATCACTTGAACCCCTGTGTCATTTATGATCTCTACTGGTCAGGCTACAGGTTTTCGTCCAGGCTCGCCTCCCCCCGCCCCCCCATCCCAGTGAGACTCAAGCAGATTTCTATGCAACAGTCCAATTTATTATTACCAAAGATGGGATCTAGAGCTCCTTCGCTACAACTCTTCCACAGGGGAAAATGTTACGGGTTAAAGCACGAGCACAGCCAGGTTCCCTATCAGTTCTCACACAGGCATCCTGCATTACTCACAGGTCAATTAAAGCCAAATCCTGCTTCAATAAAACTTACGTGACTGCTCTACAAGTCAGAGGGACAGCTCAGCTGCAGCAATGCTATGCCTGTTTACTTAGGCATTACATGGAGCTTCTGCCCCTGCTTACCGTTACTTCAAAGGAGGTACTGAGTCATAGAAAATCTGTGCCAGTGGTTTTTGTGGTTCAGGGACTGTGACGCTTAGGGGACAGTAACTTCAAAAAGCAAGTCTGTTGTTGGTAAACTTGACTGTAAAGGGTATGTCTCCATGGGAAAACTTGTAGAAAAGGTCTACAAATCAAAAAAATTGTCAGTCATTGATCAGCCTGCTCCACAACCCTCACAGGTGATCTGATTTAGTGCTTCACCATCCTCACTATTAGAAAACTTTTTTCCAAACATCTGCCTTAAACCTCCTCTGCTGATTCGTACCCAATCTACACTGCAGAGGGAGGATAGATTAATTCCCCCTTCTCTCAAGCAACATTTTGCATATCGGATACGATGATTAATGCTTCTAAATTATACCAGCATCCTTGGGCACAAATGTCAATATTGCTTCCCTACAGGAGAAAACTCTGCTAAATTTAACTTAGGCAGGAGCCAATTTCTCTGGATTGGGAAGACTTCCAAAACATTTGCTATTCATGTTTGCTTTTGGCCCTTCTACTTGCTAATTCTTTTTCTCATCCTACTTTCTATTATTCTACTAGGGCACGTTCACTGTCCCTCTGAAGAGCTGCTGACCATTCTCAATTAGTTTCGTAGCAACAGTATTAGTTTCACAGGTAAGAAAAAGACTGCTGTCAAAGTGCAGAAACAGACAGTGCTTGGTACTTTGTAACCCAGAGTCCCTCACTTGGATAAATCTGTTTCAAATAGCCTTTTTTGTCACTGTTTCCTCTCATTTTTAAGCTATTTCATTGTTTCTCTACCAGTCTTTTCTAATCCAGCTGCTTTAGCATAGGTATTACCTGTCTACGTGCAAGGGGAATGTCAGTGTGCGTTTAAAATCTGTCATGTATTCTTAAATCATTTATATGCTAGAAAGGTATTTAATGCACTGCTAACTCTATTTACATACTTTTTTAGTATGAAGAAAATAACTAATGACTGCCAGCTAATATTTAATTGTCTAGACTACTGAATGTTATTTTTAAGACTATAGCAAAAATTTGATTTTTCCAACCAGCTCCAAGATACACAACAAAAGATCTCCATGTTTTCAAAGATAAACAGATTTACTTATAACTACTTCTAAATCTTTTGCATAAATATATCCATTAAAAAAATACACAGAAGTTAGCTTAATACAGTGTATAAAGATTAGGACAGTTATGTAAAAGTTATGGAAAGAGCACTAACCCTTTCCTAGTCAAACTTGGAATAAACAGTAAATATTCACCTCTTCAGTAATGTCTTTTTTGAGTTGCTGTGAAAATGTTTTACAAAGATGATCATGGGAAAACTGAAGCCTGTGTGACATGCAATGCCTGCAAGTATTTCTGTTCTATTTCTAATAACAAGGATTTATTTTTTCAGGCTACAGACTGTTAAGAGCCATTAGAATATCTGCTACCTTCATACATACCTTTTGGGAGAGCAAAGGGCAGGGGCATAAGAAAATGTTTTCAGTCTGAATCACTCACACAACTTGCCCCCTGCTCTAGAGTGCCACTATGAAAATTACCAGAGTTGGACAGCCCTAACCTTTAATGAGAAGGTCACGTCCATTAGCCAAGACAAAATGTTTCCTATTTGCCCTCTGTTTTTCATTAATCTTTGTTCCCAGCTGGCTGATTTGAGGATGATCCTACCTGGGCAATTTAGGCCACTACATAAGCAATAGCACACCTTCAAAATATTAGGGAATTTTTGTTTAATTTTATGTTTAAGTTACTCCTGTGAAGAGCAATCCAGCTGACTGTCCTCTTCACCGATCATATTCTTACCTTCTCTGTGGCTCCATGAATCTTGAGTTACCTGTAAAGACTACCGCAGCTTCAGGAGAAGGGGTTGAGCTCTCTCTCCTCCTATCTCCTTTCCAGCTTCAACTCTACCATCACAGTCAGGGCATTCTTGTGCAGGCAACAGCTACAGCAAATTGAATTCTGGTCCTCAGCTCAGTGGGGAACAGGGCTAACTGCTAAGCTATTAAATAAAGCTTTGGGGTTTTTTTCCCCCTTAGAAATGACAATTAATGCTGTGATTTACTTTGCACTCCATGCTGCAAAGGCTGTATTCAGCTCACACCTTATAGCATGGGTTCCTCTAAGGAGACCCAGTCTGCAAACCCTCAGCTTGCACTCAGACAAGACAGTGGTATATGCCATACTTGCATGCTGTAGGCACCTAGCAAATCTTGCTACGAAATTTTAGACACCAATGACCACAGGGCTAGGGGTGGCAGTGAGGGAGATCATAGTTTTAAGATATGAGCATTTTAATTTCACATACATCTCAGTTTAGGTGTCTGAGCAAAATACAAGCAAAGGTGACAGATATAACCTAGACAGGAATCTCTAGAAATCAATGCATTTCTGAACGCAGCAAGCTCACTTTCTCACACATGCTGAAAACCTTTACTCCTGTTTTTTGTACTCCTTAAGCAGCTCACCCCTCACCCTCAAAGGTTTCAGGGGAGTCTGCACAATCAACAGCAGAGTGGAACTCTAACACTAATTCCTCCAATTTGCATACGTATCCATACATGGACCAAGGAAGTGGTGGCCTTTGGCCAACTACTCGAAATACGGAAAGGGCAAAGAAAATGCCTGAGATGCAGAAACACATGAATGATGTGAAGAGTTAAGGGAAGTGGAACTTAGCTACATCTATCTTCGGTTTCCAGTGCTTAGGCTAATCGTGTTTTTAAAATCTCTCTATGAAGGTGGAATGCCAGCTTTATCTAAGGTTTTCTTTCTGGAAGTCTAAAAATATGAAATTGGCAGTTGCTAGGCATCAGTCACAATATTACAATAACTTGCATTCAGGAATAAGATGAAGCACAAATGCAACAGAAACTATAACAGAGTCACTCCAAAAAGAACAGCCTATAGTAAAAAATAGAAGTTATGATGATTCATGTAGAAACATCTGTAAAGCATATAAAATACAGTAGTGGGGATTTCAGGCCTCTCAGTGGCTTTGTTATGAACACAGGCTGACGTTCAACTGATAAAAGATATTTTCAGAAAGTGGACTGTTGTTTTTGATGGAGAGATGCAGATGGACACCTCCAGGTGAACAGATCATACCCGAGCAGAAAAAATACAAATTATTTTCAAGGTCTGAATGCCAAAATAATAAATGACAAAATACAATATGCCAGAATCACCAGCATTAAAGTAAAAGCATGATTTTTCACCTAACCACCTTCATACTCTCAAGTGGAAAGAGTTCGGAATAACTTAAAGGCCACACCTCCACTCCTAGAAATATTTCTTCATCATTGCTGCAGCCCCACTTAGTAGTCTAAAGAATTTCACAATCACTGAACAAATTGGTCCTTTCCCTGAAGCCCTTCCAAGGAAGGTGAGCCTTTCCTAATAAAATGCTCAGCTGAGCCAATGCTGAATACACTGTAGCAGCAGAAAGACAAACCAGGCTCTCCACCTTATTCTAGAAAGGACAACTAAACCCGCTCAGACCCTGCCCAGTTTGACTTTGAGGACATAGTTTTGCCAGTCAAAAACTAAGCTATACACCCACACATGCCATCGTACGTCTTAGGAAAAAAGACAATTATAAACAGCACCAGAGGGTTCCAGATTTACTACAGATGGTGACATTTTCCAGCAAAACACTACTGTAAGCTGGGTTTTTTTTCTCCCGATTTCCATGAAACGCATTTTGCCCAGGTCTATTGGGCCTAAATAGACTCCATATCAAATATAAGGTACTCATTCCTATAAGCACCAGACAGAAGTACTTTGGACAGAGATTAAAATTTCCTCATCAAAAGCTCTCAGAAGTATCCCATGGCATTTCATGTCAAAGCACGCTCCTTTGTAATCATGCCCTTATGGTTTATACACCTCCACTCATAGTAAAGCCTTTGCTGATTTTGCTTTGTTAAAAAGGCTCTGTCTTCTCTAAGGGCACTAGGGAAACCCACAGCAAAGGAGCTTCCTTAAACATAATCCTTCACTGACGTGCAGTTCCCTGGCACGCCTTCTGCTCCACAGTAAAGCTTTTTCGACCTCTGAGCGAAAGGCATCCCTAACGCCAATGCTTCTCTCATGTTGGTTTTACAGTCCTAACTAGCCTTGGTTTCCCCCCCCCCCCCCCCCCCAAAGCCTTCACTGCTTAACTGAAACCAACTTTGACTCAGAAGAAACCATCACAAAGAAGACAGACCTACTATTTCATAAGACAGCAAATGTACATAACTGCTTGCGGGCAGATGCTAGCAGGCATTGCTGCTGGCAGTTTGGGACCCACGTGCCCCCGGGCCCGCGTCAGTGACATGCTGAAGGTCACCCAGCCAGCACAGGATGGTGTTAGGACCAGAATTCAGAGCTCCTGTCTCGTCCCTCTACATTCATACTACCCTCCCCAGTGAGCAGACTACAGTTTATCAAACCTCCTTTGTGATTACGCCACTGCAGGTCTGGAGAATTGTTCCTGGCAGGGTAACAAACTGAAAAAAACTCCCTCTCAGGTATCGTTACCACCACTTTCATGACAGGAATTACTACCAGATTTCATCTGCACACAACACGTTCTGAAGCTGTTCTCTCCACGCTTGGAGAAGACGAGCATAGTTCACCCTCATAAATCAATCAATTCCTAAAGGAGAGATCAGGATTTACTACAGAGCTGTCAAGCCAGAATCCATAAAGACAGAGAAGTTTTTTTAACAGGAAAAAAAAAACCCACAAAACCAACCCTCAAGCAGTGCCTCGACTGAAAACAAGACTACTGGCTCCCTCCAAATGCAATCTCCCACTCGTCGTAAAGGCACATCCAGCTGGCAAAGCCTGCCAAGGGGCAAAGTCAACGGAAGTCAGGTCGACAAGGCATTCCCTGTGTTACTACCAGCAGCGTCCCAGAGACCTTGCATACAGCTCATTAGTGACCCCAGAAAACAGTCATGGGAACTTGCAGTGGTAACTGAAGCAAAAGCTCCTTTTCCAGTCCTGTAACAGCTTTCCAACCATCACATTTCACAGGGAAAACTCATTCACGCATGTGTGTTTGCCTGCAAACACAGGGCTTAGAATAAACACCTCTTCCCCAGCTGCTGAACCCTGGTGAAAGAGAAGTTTTAGGACTGCAGAGCTGCGTGCTGGACATTACCATTCTTGTTAGCAGAAGGAAACACAGATTGCCTGTTTTGCTTGCCATTTTCAAGGTTAACAGATTGCCTGTTTTGCTTGCCATTTTCAAGATTAAACCTTCAGACAGGTTTATCCCCTTGCTTTCCTGCGTTTCCTAGCTGATCAGAGAGGTAATTTGTACCTTTTTGTTTCATCATTCACAGAAATTAGACGAATAATATAGGAAATGATAAAAGAATAAACCTGACTGGACCCCCTTTCAGTAGCTGCACAAGTGACAAGTGATACGCCTGCCAATACTGTTCCTTTAGCTTGTACCTAACGCTGGACCCTGATTTAAAAAAAAAAAAAAAAAAAAAAAAAAAAAGAGAGATTTGTCTCCAAATCTTCTGTCCCACACTACTCATTGTGGCAAAGTGTATTTTCTGTATCAATTTACAGACTCCCTAAGATTGAATCAGATTAATTTTATATCCTCGAAGAGAGGTGGACACTCCCATCACACCAAAGATGGGTACGTGGAAGTACTCTGCATTATAATGCGCTAAGCACAGCCATGAGGTTTTAAGAAAATCGATTACAACTAAGGTTTAGCCTCCAGGCAAAGGTCTTCAAATTAGGAGCTTCAGTGCTGAATGCAAATGGGCAAAGGAAGTAGAGCATCCCTGCTGAACCAGGGACCCTGCACCTGCCCACATACTGGAAATGGAAAGGGATGCATTACGAATCTAAACACAAACAAACATAAGCATTTCTAAAATAACTTGCTCTAGGGAATTTCACGTGCTTCACATTTCTGTGTATCGTGTTCATTTTAACCTACTGACTGTAGAGCATGTGAGGAAGCACAATGCTTCCAAACTGCAGAATATGGGTGTACACCACTAAATACAGTACTGTCCACCAGCGGAAGACATGGACCACAGTTTGTCTGAAGTCCTGCACGTTCCCTATCTGCTGCCAATCTACTTTTCCATTTTCCTCCCTTGTTTCCCTGCCAAGGTTACTCTTCTAGCTGTCACGGAAGATGTACATGATCTTTCTTCTGCTGTTTTATGTCCACTTATTAAACACCCCTCCTCCCTGCCAGGGGGAACCCAGAAAGCGAGCTGGATACCCTCTCCCCCGAGCACTTGCCAGTTCCCACCGAAAAGGAGCAAAGCCCTTCACCAAGGGGCTGCAACAAAGACAAAAACAGGTCCCTTCACAAAAGAGACTCCTGAAAGGGTGTTTAGTCATTACACAAACGATTTGCTGCTTTTAAGAGCGAAAGGCTTCAAAAAGACTGGGCAACTCCACGTGAAGGAGCCGGCTCTGGATTAATTCATTCGCGCCAAGAAAAAACTGTGAAGGATGGTGACTCCTGATGCGAGTTTGCCCTACAGGGAGAGGGACGCAACCTGAAAAAAATAAATATCAAAGAGCGCTTTTCATCCCAGTTTTAACAAAAACACGGGACCCCTTATATAAACCCTAAACTTGCTCCGCTCCGCAGGAAAGCGAGAAAACAGCAGTAAAAAGTTGGGGGGAGCATGGAGGGGAGGGACAAAAATTTTAAAAATCAAGAGAGGGGTGGTCACACACAGGCAGCGCTGGGGAGCCCGGGTGAGGGACGGGGCGCTGCAAGGTGTCCGCGCCGGGGAGCAGGCTTGACTCGTCCGTGCCCGGGTTTTGGGTGAGGGTCACCGAGCGCGCCGCAGAGCGGGGATGGGGCACAGCCCCGCGCAGCGAGGCGGGACGGGCAGCGGCGGGAGCCTGAGGGGGCGAGGAGAGGCGGGAGCGGCGGGCGCCTGAGGAGGGGCGAGGAGAGGCGGGAAACGGCAGGTGCCTGAGGGGAGGCGAAGCGGGCGCCTGAAGGGAGGCCGGCGGCGGAGCGTCGCGGCCGCACGCACCCCCCACCC